AAAATGTTGGAAAAAATTTTTTAAAAATTGTTGATGTTTGATCGTAAAAATACAAAGAAACCGCACGTTTATGCAAGTGATAACAAACGTACTCAGTTAATACAATAACTATATATTTAATATGTCAGAATGCGGCCTAAAAGTTTGACTTTGAAAAGCCGATGTTATCCACCTATGCATGCATGTCTATGACTATGAGCCCTAATTCGTAATGCCAGCACTATGTATATAGTTGGGGAAAACATTGTAATGCAATGCATGTCATTTTTTATCATAAGTTAGTTAATTATTAGGACATCGAAAAGCAGTGCCAGAACATTAACCCACGCAAATGCCGCCGGAAAGTTCGCGTAGGCAGGCTAAGATGCCAAAGACAAGAATAGGCTGCATAGTTAATTCAGTTAATTATCGTTGCTCGGCCGCAAAGTAGTTTTTTCAACGCGGCAATTTTGTAACAAAATTACCAGCAAAATATCGGCAACCTTGCTTTCGGCACACTGCAATCTTTAATTAGCTTTGGAGCCAAATTCAATATTAATAATTATAATTATAATAATACTGCAGTATTACCAGTATATAATTTCGAAATCAGTTAACTTGCCTGACACTATACTCTAAAAACACTCCGGTTAAAATTTCCTGGTCAACCAAGAAATAACACTATAAACGTACACTATAAACGTATAAATAACACTATAAACGTACCCTCAATGTATTTGGTTCGGCACATGAAAGTTTCACTTTTGAACTAGGCCTAATTGGGTTATTAGTTCTGACATTAAAACTTCGTATATGACCGACACAGAAACGACGCGTTACTGACATTATTTGAATGTTTGATCCATACATTAATGCCTGATAAAAACGTCGAGAACACTGTACTACAATATCGGTCATTAATCAAACGATTTAATTGCTGCTGATAATGAAATAGCGCATATTGGTAACTGCATGGTGAATGCCAAAACAGCGCATAACTAAATTAATTAAGCATGCAGCTATATGATATGTAAGTTGCGTCAACTGTATAGTTGTGTTTATAGTCGGTTCTCTCTGTGTTGATGATCACTAGGTCTGCTATCATTCAAGATGAAGCTATTATCTGTGATATGTTTAATATTTATCATGGCGATGATGGATGGCATTGAAGGTAAACTTTTCATTAACAATAAGTGAAATTGACTTGGCATGTTCTTGTCTTTGAATGTTATTTTGAATATATATAATAAAACCCACGCAAAATTTCATTGGGATTTGCGTGTTGTCATATTAAACAGGCGATATTAGTCTTGGAATAGCACTAGAATATCAGCCATACTAAGTTCCTCGTCAGTGTCATATTCATTCCACTAAATATAATTCAATGTCACCCACATGTGAGAAGTGTTGACATGCATGCATGGTTCCAGGATCAACACTGTAGTTTTTCTCCACAATAACCGATAGAGCACTTATATTACTAAACTGCTAAAGAAAACTGTTTGAAACTAAGACGGCCATCCGGTATAGGTAAGCTATTCGTTTTGAGGTTTACGTATCGTCCCCCCTCCCTCCCTCCCTCCCTCCCTCCCTCCCTCCCTTAAGCCTGGCGCACACGGGAGCTACTGTATCTGCTGAGCAAAAATTCACTCGTGACCGTTGGCGTAAGCAAGTTCCCCCAGTTTGCGGCGATGTTTTAAGAACTTTTGGTAAACTGGAAACATAAATGATGACAGCTAGTGCCTTTTTATTTTTTAAAGAATTTTAACTGGGGGTCAAAGGCAAACATTTTTTGAATAGGAAAAATGTGTACTATCAATTAAAGTTTTCATAAAAGAGTGAGATGATTAGGGGAGTGATTTCAATTCTAACTTTTAATTTTTAACGTAATTTGAATCATAACTTTGAATCTGAAATAACGAAAATCAATTTGATTATATGCACTAAGTGACCATATAGTTTGGTGAGGTAGTTCAGGTGTCAACCCGGGAAAATGGTCACAGAAGCGCCATTTTCTTCACTTCTAACCGTTTAGCTGAACCGATGGTTGAGGCTATCTAACAAGTACATAAATCGGTCTAAATTATTCATTCAAGTAAATTTTCGAGACATGACAATCCTTATAATAAGACTGCAAGAGAGCCCCGATTTCTTCAATAATTGCCACTATTATGAAGCCGTCGTATAAACTAATTTTAAATCGTTTCCAAAACGATCATTTTGGGTGTGATAAGTATAGAGAACACTGGTAGAATAGTCTAGTTATGGAATATTCTGTGCGCCAATTTACTGGGGACAGAACCAGGGTGGAATCCGATGGGGGACTTCTTACTGGACATCTGAAGAGAATACATTGAGATACAAAGCTACCACTATTCAAAGACAATGCGGTGAATAAAATTGTTTTAGCATATACCATAACAAAACAAAAATGAGCAAAAAAACAACGAAAATATTTTTTTAAATTTGTATCAGTCAGCTCCTGTAATAGTTGCAAACAAAACAGTATTTACACGCTTTTAGTAATTTCAATCATAATTAGAAATAGCTTTAAGGAATACCTCTACACATTGTTAAACAAAAATTTGGTCGTCTGTAACCGGAACGAAACGTGAAGCCATCTTGCTTCTGTCTGGAGTGAATAACGCAAGGATATCCAGAACTGAGCGACCAATCAAACTGCAAGAAAAGCACTATCTACCCCCAAATATATGCTAATACAGAATGGCTAGTTCACACATATATAATTTTCAGGGGCGCTAAAAACGGTCAAATGTGCATGTTGATAATAAATTTAGGCACTTATACAATTTCAAAATACTGAATGTAATTATTGGACGACATATGCCTCATGATGTTACTCTGATGTATATCCACACCGGGCAGGCTGAAAAGTTAGCCTGACCACGGTGGGAATCGAACCCGCGACCTTTGGGATACTAGTCCAATGCTCTGCCAACTGAGCTACGAGGTCAAGTCTGTTCGAGTGTGTGGTATTTCGGAACTAAGTATAGTAGGCCTACCTTCGACACCAATGTGGGAATCAAACCCGCGACCGTGGTCAGGCTAACTTTCACAGCCTGCCCGGTGTGGATATACACTCAGAGTAACATCAAAAACATTATATTCACCTGAGTACATAACATCAAAATACACACAAAAAATATATGCCTCATTGTTTCAGGAAATAGTCCCGTGTGGTCAATGATTCCCGGAAGACTGATGCAAGTTGACGTGAGTCCAGCGGAAGTTGTTTGGGGTGTAAATAGCGCTAACTTCATTTCCGAGTTGGATCTCAGGGAAATTGGAAACATATTAGGGGCTTGTTAAAACATGTCTCGGTTGGTGAGGCGGGAGTTTGGGGAGTAAACAAATATGATAAGATCTGGTATCGTGAAGGAGTATCATCAAGTAACCTGGCAGGAACAAGATGGCAGAAAGTTGGTGGTGAGGATATATTGTATTTGCAACATGCCGTATGCTGTATAATGTCTCATTAAAATGTCGTATACCAATCACTCACTTTTCATGCATCTAGGGCTGTTGAGATGAGCCGGGCCAGCCCGGCTAGCCGGGATGAATCGCTTCACAAAAATTCGTTTGAAAAGATCCTTTGAATGAGCTTTACACTGGTCACTGGAATCAAACTAAGCTATGTGAATTTTTATGTTTATCAAGCCGTGATCAGAGTTATTTTTAACGAATCATCCAGGTTAACCGGTGTCACAGCGGATTTGGACTCCCCGCGGATATGGACCCCCCGGTCCATATCAGCTAGCGGATTCGGACCCCTACGGTACCTATCCGCTAGCTGATATGTACCCCCTTCCGCAGAATTGGACCCCCTAAAATTCACAAAAAGAAGAAGTTTTGAAACGATTTGCAGTTGAATGTGCATGGAAATTTAGGCGTCAGTTTAATTGAAATTATGATAACTAATGGCATGACTGAACTATCTTGGAATTTGCTTAATGACGAAAACAAGTTATTGAGATGCTAATTTTATAAAAGTTTAGGGTTGAATGGAATGCATCACTTTGTTATGGGTATGTTAAAGCAAAAATAATTTGAAACATATTTTCATTTTCCGTTTTTATTTGAGCAGTTAAGAGTCAGAGCAGATAGCAATTCCAAGGAGTAAAATACTTGTGAAGGCTTCATGCGCTTCTCAGTTCTCGCACATTCCAAGATCATAGAAATAAACCCATGTAGCAGAAAAATTATAAATCATAAACTTTGACGGGATTCTTTAATGTAAAAATCTAAGATTTGATGATCTAAAAATCTTCGTACGGTTTTTAAAATAAATCAGATGAGATTTATGACGATTTAAAACGCTTTCAGTGCAATATTCAAAATACAGTACGTTGCAGTGATAAAACACGCGAGGGGTCCAAATTCGCGAAGGGAATCCAAATCCGCTAGCGAATAAAGACCCCCATAGGTCCATATTCGCTAGCGGATATGGACTCCTCGGTCCATATTCGCTAGCGGATATCGATTTGGACCGGGGGGTCCATTTTGAGGGAAGTCCAAATGTGCTGGGACACCTGGCCAACCAGGCTCCATGTGATTAGCCCCTGTACATGACAAAACAATTATGAGTTACGCAGAGCTCGGGAAAACGTTTAAACAATCAATATAGTCTTCACTGTTTATTAATTCCACTATCACTATTTTTTTATTCCCACCATACTGAACCGCTTATCTCAACTTTAATATCAAAATTGTGTGTCATGTTTTTTCTCCTTCGCCCACTTAAAACAATTCAAAATGATAGCCTGACAAACTTGTCGCTATTAAGGGACAATTAAAAGCATGCGCATGCATGGCGTCACTGAAAGTTGATCTTTTGAATAAAATTGTTTACTATGATCTTCTAGCTATATCATAAAAGAAATAGAAAAACTCGTCTCGTGCGTTCGTGAATTATCACACCGTAAACACATGCGACTCGTTTTCTATTTCTTAAATTTTGATGGCCTTGATACCCTAATGCCATTCGTTTTCTAATTTTGTAGGTTTACTAAAGCAGATTGATTCAGGACCAACGGGGATTGTCTATGGAGTTAACCGTAGACATAATATATATTGCAGGACCGGCATAACAACAGCTAGACCTGAGGGAACTGGTTGGAAATGTGTTGGCGGAAAACTTAAATATGTCAGCTGCGGAGTTTTGGGGTGTTGGGGAGCGAACGCCAATGATGATATCTGGTTTCGGGTTGGCGTGACTCCTGACAAGTGTGAGGGAACAAAATGGGTACAGATTTATGGAAGAAAATTAAAGCAAGTTGAGGTTATCTCGATTTATTCATGTCATTCATTTTTTCATTCAATTTATTAATTCATTTCCTTAATCTATACCAACACTGTATGTATATTGTGTATTCACCGTGTTATTCTCACCCTGCATGAGCTGTTATATATCAGAAGCTGTTGCATCTGAATTTTCTTGAATTTTAAATAAATGTTTCATTCGTTCTCTGTGGGAAGAAATCGAACAAAGAGGAACACAGTACGAACTCCGGCCGCTTTTAGCCGGTTGATTAGTTCTCCTCGCACGATTTTCTCGAATCCTTACCAAGAATATCTCAGACGTCATATAGACGTCAGTGCACTTCGGGCCATTCTATTTAATCTACACACACCTCTATGGACGAGTTCAATAAAATTTGAACCCTAAGAAAAAAAGATCAAAGTACCGACACAAACACACACACACACAGAAATTAAGAATTTTTTGCCTTACCCCTCAGAAAAAAACGCAAAGATCAAAGGATGCCGATGCACACAAATGGAATGGCCCTTTGAAGTTTTTAAAGTTTGTAATTTTGCGGTTTTAGACACTTTTGGACTACGTTAGCCACCCGACAAAATTTACAAACGGCTTTGTAGAAATGCCCAGACTTTCTACCCACTTTTATCGAAAACGAGAGGGGGCTGCTATGTTTGAGGCTATAATTATGCGAAGTGTGACATAAATTTGCCAAGGGAACCCAAATCTGGCAGGGGAAAATGACCAATTCACACGGCATTGAGTATTTTTAAAAACGGAAGGATTCTTTGTTGGTTACTCCGCCAGAAATGATGAAAAGTTGTAATATTTAAAATATATAAAGTTATTACATTTTTCTTAGGTAAGCAGTGAAGGTGTAGTGCTTGGAGTGAATTCAGCCAAGCAGTTGTTTGGTCGTGTTGGTATCACAGTGGCTAATCCTATAGGAACGAAATGGGTTTTTATACCTAATCCAGGATTTAAACATGTTTCAGCTGGGAAAACTGGTATATGGGCAATTAATGCAGCAGATTACATATTCTTCAATGATGGTTAGTAATGTATTTAATGATTTACAATCTTCATAGAATGTGGCAGTCTCTCAATGCAGGTATCATGCAACAATCTCAAACTCATTAATAATTCACGAGTAAATATTGTTTTATTTTGTTCACATGATAATACTGGATACCTGGTAAAGTATATTGATCAAGTCTTAGGACTGGATCAAAATTAATTCAGTCCTTGGACTGGATCAAAACTAATTAAGTAGTGATTTATTCGTATGAGATGTCATTTCAAACCCTTCAATTCAGTCTGGATTAGATTCCCAGTCCTTGCATTTTGATCCAGTCTTCGGCTTCGCCTCGGACTTGATCAAATTGCGCGGACTTGAAATTTAGTCCAGTCCTCATAGTACGGATTTAAAATGTTACATCAAATACTGGTACAGTATGATCAGTATCTCTCCCAGTAACAGTTTCTACCGGGAGGACATGGCAGCATATAATAAACAACTATTGAATGAGGTTGAGCATGATATCGAGAATTATCAAGGCCAATGTTTGTGTTATCTACCGCAACCGAAGGCTGAGGTGATGCCTTGATAATTCTCGATATCATACGAAAACCAAATTCAGTAATGGTTTTATCATATATTCAAAAGCTAGAAAGAAAGCAAAACCATTTTTTGGCATGTAGCTAGTTTCACGAACTTTCTCATCAGATCGATACCAGCCAAATGCTATCTGAACAAACCTGAAATTTTCATGTGACGGTTTCTACCCGAGCACGTGGCAACAGATATGTTGCTTGCCAAATACTGCTGGCGAAAAGCAAATAAATCTCAGGTTAAAACTTTCCTCGTTAGCCTAGATATAACCCTCTTTGTGCTCAGGTTACATACTGAACCATGCTATGCATGGTAAGAGGTGAGACAAAATAACCAGTAAATTTCATCAGGAATAATAAGTTAAATTTGATCACCTGCAGTGCCGTAGCAAGCCCAATTATCGAGCTTGCTACGGCACTGATCACCTGAGTCACATAATCTCTTTTGTTGGCAATTCATTTGATTGATTATTGTTGAAGGGTACGTTTTGAATTTTTTTATAGAAATTATCGAGTGTTGATTTTATACAGCTAATTCAATTAAGGTTGCCGTCCTTCCATAAACGGATGATGGGTTATTACTAGTTTAGACTAATAAACAGCTGCGAAAACTGTACTATGCGTCTTCTGGCAGGAATGGAACCAGCGGCCGTGCGCGATTCCCGCGGTGCAGCGCTCTAACCAACTGAACTACAGATTCCAGTTGTCGAACCAGTTGGTCAGAGCGCTGCACCGGAATCGTATGGCCTCGGGTTCGATTCCTGCCAGAGGACATATAAGTTGCATTTTTCGCAGCTGTCCCTAGTTATAGGTGTAATAAATGTATATAAATTTTACACTCGATAATTTCCATCTACAAAACCCTTCAACTGAGTGTATTAAATATTAATGCTGGTTAGTAGATCGACTTTCTATTTATTTTACTTTTGCCACAATGACCTCACTATTGTGCACGACAAATGCAGGAGGATTTAATCGAAGGAAAACGAGGCCGCTGGAACAAAAAGTATAGCTACGTATAGTTTATTGGGTATAGTCACACTCTGTGTTATCATGAAATAGTTAAAGTTTGCAATGTTAAAACACCATTTATTTAATTTCAGTATTAGCCCCATCTTGGGCAAGGGTTGGCGGAAAACTGAGAGAACTTGACGTCAGTCCTTCAGACGCTGTTTGGGGTGTCAACAGTGGACATTCGATATATATTCGTCTTGGAAAAGACTGGCAGAAAGTTACTGGGAAACTGAAGCATGTCTCGGTTGGTAACTCGGGTGTCTGGGGAGTAAACCGATTTGATCGTATCTATTTTCGAGAAGGAGTCACAACAAGTAACTTGGCGGGAACAACATGGACCCTCATATCAGGTGAGAACATTTTACGTAACAATCTGATTCGTGAGAAAATATCGGATTTTGAAAGTATATCTGATACTTTGGACGTCCAGTTTATGCAATGTTAAGGAGACTCCTTGTGGTACGTTTAGTCAAATTATTCAGATCGTCGTTTTCGCGAGTTTTGAGCACGTATTACGTTTTGTTCAAATTAAAAGAGTGCCTAAGTATATTATTGTTTAACCAGTAGTTCTTAAGGCTTTTGTTAAGCATGTTTTTCATTATTTTATTTACGTTAAACTAGTTGCTATTGGTTGCTTCTACTAGGGAAGACAATGACATATTATTGATGTGGCAAGCTAAAACTTGACATTTAGAAATGTTGCAAGTCCGCCGCATGCAATGCTGTAATGCTGCCTCGGCGCTATAAAACGATTTCACATACGAGTCACTATATAAAAGGTTTAAATGAAGTAGCCCATCGCGACAAACAAGCGCGCGTACACGGCAACAAACGCTCAGGTTGATGCAATACTGATGAAAACAGGATTGAACAATGTTTTGCTGCATGCCCACATTGTTCATAGCTGTCAACAATATTGAACAATATTGTTACACCCGATTCAGGCTCAACAACATTGTTCAACATTGTTGACAAGTGTGAACAACGTGGGCAGCAAAACATTGTTCAGTCCTGTTGAGCAACGGGCTCGGCGTTTCTTGCCGTGTACCGGTTTATGGCGTTGAGGCGGCGAAAATTGAGGAGCGCCTGGAAGCTAGTTCTTGTTCCGTTTCTTGCAAAATTCGTCTGTTTCTTGCAAATTATGGTTTTTCGAAAGTTTTTGGGCTTTTTCTAACGCTCATATCCCATCCCTCTTTGCGCGCCTATAATGATCGACACACTACTTCGTGTAAACCTTTTATATTGTGACTCGTATGTGAACTCGTTTTATAGTGCCTGGCCGCCTGGGGACGAGGCAGGCTGTAATGTATTATCCTTTCAAAGTAATGGCTATATCGCTTTTTTCGTCAGATTTGGCATTCTATCCGTTTTACCAGGTGTTTTACTACAACTGTCTTAAGAAATGTTTTATAAGGTTTGAACTAATTTTAACAAATACAAATTGAAGGAAGGTTAAAACATATGATAATAAAGGGTTCAAAGTTATACTTTATATAATGAAAACACTGATTTCGTCATATTTTACATTAATTTATATTGATTTATATATCTATATCAGTGTATCTTTATACACTTTATACAGCAACAACACAGCGGCATGTTCTCATTGAGCGGTACCGATGTCATCATTTAGATGGCCCTGTGGCATCGGCATTGGCAGTATTGCCAACTTTACTTTGCGTTTACCCGCGTATTAGCAAGTTTTTTGTCTTTTGCACGTGATGTGATAACTATAAAACTGATAATGAGTATAAAGGAAAAACCGAAAAACCTTGCCATAACAGAAAGCAAAAACCCTGCTAAATCTCTTTTGGTCTTTTACCGAGAATGAAATATTCTCAGATTGTCCCCTCGAAAATAGAAATGCACCGCGCACGTTTATATCCGATTCCCTCCAAACTTTGCGACAATGTTGAACAATAGTACACGAGCAAAACCATGTTCACGTTTTCGATTTGATTCAATTTTTCCGTTATACTGTAGCCATCTGTTCTATTGTTTTTACAAAATTTAGATAAGTTAACTTGTCTGCTTTATTTATATCAAAGCAAATGCAATACCTGTCAAAAACGCGAACACGGTTTTGTTCTTTGATAATTTGCCTGATGGGAAATCAGAATCATGCAATTCTCGTGACGTCATATTGTCAAAAGGAACTCGGCGCAATTACAGTTTACAAAGACGTAGAATTTGTGTTATATCGCTAGCTCGAGCATTAATTTATCATTATTCATGCATGCAAAATGTGAGGGGGAAAACTTACAAATTGAGCTTTTGGTTAAAATGGGGTTCCATTATATGGAGTAACCTTAACAGGCTCAAGATTGTCTTCTTAGTTAATACTTTAACTTATTTCATTTTATTTCATTTTAAAGGTTTGCTGAAACAGATTGATTCAGGTCCAGCAGGGATCGTGTGGGGAGTTAACCGTGCAGATGATGTATTCTGCAGGATTGGGATAACAAATCAGAATCACAAAGGAACTGGTTGGAGATACATTTGTGGAAAACGGAAATATATCTCGTGCGGCTCATATGGATGCTGGGGGCTGAACCCTAGTAACGATATCTGGTTTCGACATGGAGTGACAGCTGCCTCGTGTGAAGGAACAAACTGGATAAGAATTCCAGGAAAGTTGATGCAGGTTGAGGTAAGCGCACACATGGGTCATTGCTACATATAGAAATAAGTTGACTATTGTCCATAAAATCAACAAGATATTCGACCAGGATAGATGACACGGACTCCGGGGACATATCACGACTTCTTTTATCTTCAATTTTGGTTGCGTTTCCCCACAGTCTTCTGGCGACCCTTTAGATAATAAAGTATTTTGCTCTCCGACTCTACCTTCTCCAGTGAAGTTGCACCTTCAAGAGAAATATGACCTTTTTAGTAGAATATTTTGACAAAAGTACTTCTGGAACTTTTTCCTGAGAAGAACCCTTTCCTCTTATTCGCACATTTTCACTGATTCCCAGGCATGATACAAGTTTTGTTTTCGCAGATTACCAGTGATGGTAAAGTTTATGGAGTTAACTCAAGAAGAACAATGTTTGTCCGTCTTGGTATCACACCAAATAATCCAACAGGAACTGGTTGGAAAGTTGTCATATCACCACCATTCAAACACGTTTCGGCTGGAGATTCCGCCATTTGGGGGTTAGACCTTGCAGACAACATTTACTACTTTACTGGTAGGTATTTTTTGCTTTAATTTTTCCTTAGTATTCGTCTTCTCTACTTCTTGTTGACAAGATTCATAATAAATAATATAATACATTAATACTATACAAGTTAAACTTAAACTTGTACTAAGACATCACAGAAAATACATACCGTCAGGCACTGATCGCAATTTAGGGATAAGCGCAGGTGATTGACCACCATCTGCTGTCATTCAACGCTTAAGCCTCGTCCTAACAAGGATGAGAGTTGACAGTTGGAGAGTTTGTATGGGAGTTTTCTCAAATCTCATACCCCGGTCAAACAAGACCAAGAGTTGCATGAGTCTCATCAACTCTCATCCTCGTTTGACAACGTGGTTTACTGGCTTTACTAGTGAAACTCGACATTCGTATGATTATTGATCTCAATATTAAAACATTTTCTAGGTTTGGAATTCCCTGAAGAAAATTACGCTATTCTTCTAACTGACAACTTCCGGAAGGGAGGAATTGGTAAAATTTCAGTGAGGAATCCAGTTTCTGGGGTAAAGTACAGTTTAACCACTGCCTCTAGTATTGTAGAAATCAATTCAAGCACTGGACAACTCACATTATTGGTCAATGCTGATCAACAACATCGGAGTGAAGTGAACAACTCGAGATTTGAGATCAAGGCAAATTTCGGATCCGAAGTGAGAACTGTAGCAGTCGTTATTTATGTCCTCCCGCTCTACCATGGTGATCCACTTGCGCTACCTGCTATGACTGTAGTTAAAAAGGGCCTGCAAACCAGTCAATATATAGCCCTCAACTATGGACCTGCAGCTGAGATCTCACCAGAATTGTTAGATCGATCTTTGAAACAAATGTCACCAGATGATCCAGCTTTTCAGCTTTCTGTAACTCAAACGAGAGTGGAACGTGCGATAGATCTGGTGAAGTCAATTATCATACTTGCATTTGGTAGGTAGGCCTACTTGTTAATTAATAAATAATTTGGAGTGACTTAAAGAATATTGGCAACACAATTTAAGTATATTTACATTGAAAGAGCTGTAGAATAACTCATTTTGCAATTTTTTATATCTTTCTTAATTTGGTTAGAAAATAATTTCAGTTTATTTGACATCACAAGCGGGATAAAGTTTTTGACAGTCCCCAGGACTCTTAAAATTTCATAATTTTGTATGCAAGATTAATCAATAAAACTCACCCTCCGATATAGACCGGAGTGATTTCCCCTCTTTTGAGCAGTGAGCTTGCAACTTTGGCGCAAATGCGATCTTTGAAAATTGTTTAACCAGCTTGTGACGTGATATATTTATTTCATTTGTGTATCAAACAAATTAAAATTATTCAATAATGAAAAGAGATAAAGAAAAGCTGTAAAATAACTTATTTTACAGTTAAATGAAATTCTTTGCCACTGGTAATGCCATCTTGAAATTCAAGATTTGAATTAAAACAAGAAGAGCTGTTGAAACTGTAAATTTTCGACTTTATTCAAAGCTATCATCAGATGATACATGACGACTTTGATGTACGATGATGATTTTGAAACAAAATTGAAAACTTACAGTTTCAAGAGCTCGTCTTGTTTTACGGTTCGAACGGGCAAACTGAGGCTGCTTTTGCATATTTTTATTTTTTTAAAATTATTAACGAGCCAATCACGCGATCTTAATTCAAATTTTTTAGGTAATATTTATACTAAATTCGTGTTTTAAATTCCCGAATTATGAAGATCTCGATAACACTTACCTCGACCTTGATAATTCTGGATTTCCAATAAATGTTTATTATTAGTAGTATTATTAGATTTAATCATTTTTTATCCATCATCTTTATTATATAATTTTTATATTTTATTATTTTTATCCATCAAAATTTTTATCATTTTTCATGCTTACAGAAAAAGATTATGGTAGAGGAGCGGTCCTAGGTTTTTTCCACAATCAACAGCTCTTTTCTACGGCAACAATAACTAAGCTGGACAGAGAGTCAGATTGTCATGAAACAGTTAAACACATTGATTGTCCTCAGAATGCTAAATATCGCCGCAGTGATGGAAGGTGTAGTAACCTCAACTTCCCTCTGGCTGGTGCCGCTGGAACGCCATACATTCGACTGTTGCCTGCGGTAAGCAAATATGACGCATTTCTTTGATTTTGCAGTCAATAGCGTGTCAAATAGGCCTTTCCCCTTATGAGTGACATTTTTATCTAGATATGCCTGGACAAAAAATTTATCACAGCTTGAAAGAGCATCACAAAATTAGTAAAATTCCGAAGTTTCGTTGCGTTTGTTGCGTAAAATGCGGATAATATAGCCTTGCGAAGTTTGCCGTTTTTCAGTCATTTTGCATTACAAACGGGAAATTGATAATCAGATGATCAAACTGATTATCAATTTCCCATTTGTAATACAATGACTGAAAAACGGCAAACTTCGCAAGGCTATATTATCCGCATTTTACAACATTTCGCAACGAAACTTCGGAATATTACTAATTTTGTGATGCTCTTTTTTGTCCAGACTTGTCTAGATCAAAATTTCACTCAAAAGGGGAAAGGTCTATTGTCAGTTTTGCTAACCTTATGGATAGTGTATGGTGGTCAATGAACGGTCTGTGCTATGCCACTAATAACAAAATGTCGGTTGATATAAGGATGCAACTACCTCAAAAATACAACAAGAGCTTTCCTTCGAACGTCGAAATTTTCCTTCAGTTCTATTTTTCAGGTAGTTGCATCCTTATCAACCGAAGTTTTGTGACGGTCAATATCCGAAATCTCAGTTGATGTTTTAACTTAATTAGTAAGAAAATTTCTTCATTTCACAGTAAAAATATTTAATACTGTACATATACGCAGCAACCCCTCGCCTTTCTTACCAAAAGAACTATATTCCACAAACATTGTATCAAGGCAAAAAATTAAATACGTCAAAGCATGGAAAAAGTTCGATAACAGTTTAAAAACTATAGTTGGCTACCTCACATATGCTTAATGAAACTCGCCAATAACAGGTTGGAAGCGGCTCGGAATTTCTGATACGCTACTGAGTGAATATCATGATTGTAAGGACCGCAGATACAACATTTAAATTCGGGGGTGGAAGATGATACTGAATAATGAATGCTGGGTTTTGAAGCAGTGTGCATATAAATATTGATGGTAGGAATTATGAATATTAAGAGTACACAAATATGAATAATTTGAAACTAAAATTGGAATTCGAAAGTTTTTTTAACTGAATTTTTAAGGTATAGGAATACGAAATTTAGAGGTATGAATATTAAAGATTTAAGAGAAATATTGCTCTCCCCTCCCCACGAATTTAGAATTTTAAATTAATGATCTGTTTTTATTCACACTATACAGGTATACTAATCTATATATTTTATTCGTTAAATTAAGGGATGTTAGGACAAATGTTTTACTCTTTACCATTGCAGAAATACTATGATGTAGATGGCCTGAATGATCCTATTGGATACCCGAACCAACCAAATGCACCATCAATGCCCTCGCCATTCAAAGTTAGCAGAGATCTTATTAGAGATGAAATAGCCTCATCTGCCGCCAGAAGTCTCACGCCTGCTGTGATGCAGTTTGGTCAGTTCCTTGATCATGATTTAGATCTGTCTGCTGGTGGAGAGGGAAGTACTGCTTGCCTTTCAATAAGGTATTTCTTCGATTGGCTATTTGATATATTTATTAGTTGATTATAACTGATTCAATTTTTTAGTCCATAAATCGATTCATCATTTCGATGACTGGATCATTGATTCTTTCATTCACCGGCTTTAATTTGGCATGTAGCTGTCTTGACAATACATAACTTACATGCATAGATAACTACATTGAACAAAAATATGGAGAATTGTAACTATGGAACACAAACGAGATTAGGTGCTATGCATGATGCCCACCATTAGATAAGTATAGAACAGCAAGTAAAATATATAATAGAAAAGTGGAAGGTGAATGGAAAACTAGAAACACAGACCATAGCCTATCGAAGAGAAGATGGCTGTGGAACTCATTAGAATAACAATATAATTCATCTATGTTGGTCAACGTTTATTCATAAATCTGGTCCTTCACAGTCACGTGTGTATTCAGTGGCGTAGCTAGCGGTCCTGCTTGTCCTGCCCAGCAGGACTAAAAATTTCCCCAAATTTCCTTAGTAAAACATTACTTTATTTACCTTGAAACTTTAAAAATATATTATTATCATACTGTTATTTTGTATAATTTTCTCGTCTTTTTCGTTATTATTTTTTAAAAGTTTTCCGTATTCTATTACATTTACGCAATTTTACAGCTTGCCGTGTCTGTTACCTAGCAACTGCAACTCTATAAAAGCTCATTTCCGGGCAATATATTGATTTACACGCGCTCGTGTTTCAGTCCTGCCATTTTCAAATGGCAGGACTTGCTAGTATATTTCATAGTAAATTCATACAAGAAATCTTGCTTTCTGATTGGATAATTAGATCTGCGCATGCTCAAACCGGCTGTTTACAAATGCGAAGTCCTGCTCTCTCGAAATGGCAGGACTTGGCCTTTTATTGTCTTTACTTGCGAGCTTTCCGCGTGATTAAACCCACTTTTTACTAACTCTGTCAAGATTACTCAAGTGATGAATATGGGAATCAACCAGCGTGAAAGCCCATTGTGATTTGGATATAATTTCTGGCTTCTGCTAAGATATTTTAGCTCACGAAATGCATGTCAACAGACTCGATCGTGTATTGTCTGTCGTATTTTGATATAAAGTATGAACGTATTTATATTTGCCAGTTCATCTGCTTTATGCATTGCTGCTATTGCATGAAACGAGGCATGAAACACGAGCGCTTATATGGAGTTTAAAAATGATATAGCTACCATTTAGATTTACAAAGTTTATGTTATTTATGTAGATATTTGGCCGCATTTTAATACACTATATTTACTTTAAACGCTACGGCAATTTTATTATATTTAAATACCATAGCCATAGGCATAGCGTACTGAATTATACAATCAGAGTACCAAGCGTAGTGGTCCGTAGTTGATACCACTCCGTTTAAAGTTTATTAAACATTACTAACAAACGTAGTAATTTTTTAACGAATGCTAGCCGTATATGTAGTCATTGTAGTGTTGTATATTCAACAGGCGCTGCAACAATTGTTCAGTTACGCAATTGCACGTTGACCAAGTGAAAGATCATATTACAGACGTGTATTGAAAACATGATATTTTCCTCTTACACCGACTTGACTATATTTAGCTAAATTTTTAAGTTGAAAAATATATAGTGAAATATGATAAATATGGAAATACGATTTTAAAAAGTGACAAATTTTTTTCTAGAAAAGTATCTAATTTTTTTATGCTGCCTTTGGAGTATTTTGCCGTGAAATCGCAGGAAATGGCCATTCCAGACTTCTAAAATTAAAAATTTTCCGGGGGAGCATGCCCCCGAACCCCCCTAGAATGTGTGAGTTTTAGAGCAGGACCTGTCGAATTTCGCTAGCTACGCCACTGTGTGTATTGTATTCTTGCCCAACTAACCAATAGCATTGTTTTAGGAAAGTTACCTATCCGTGACTCGAACAATAGGGAAACTGGAAATTGCTATTGGTGGATTTGGTAAAAATACAATACACACCTGACGGTGAAACGAGCAGATTTATGAATAAACGTTGACTAACATAGATAATGAGTTATATTATTATTCTAATGAGTTTCACAGCCATCTTCCCTTCGATATGCTATATGCACAGGCAGAAGATGAAAAGAGAAATGGTAGAATGAATGACCTGGATATTAATTAGTCGTGATCAATGAGTGTGAGCTATTTATTGCTTTAATGATGAACTATTTTCAGATCGTTAATCAATTTCTTTGGAAGTTCAGTGAAGGTTTGATTAATCAATTGAATTCATTATTTTAAGAAATTAATTCAATGGTTGATTGAGAGATACATTGATTATTCGTGATAGATTCACTGATTATTAGATTAATTGTCTGATTAATGATTCTTGATAATACAAACCACGAAAATAAAATGTTGGTTATTTTTAATATTTTATCTCGTTTCAGATGTGATGGATCCCCAGCTGACTTTCAACCTCCATGTTATCCCATTTTGCCACTGGCAAACAACGAACCTCCATGTATGCGATTTGTGAGGTCCGCTGCAATGTGTCAGTTGGAGGGGTTCCCTATGGAGAGAGAACAGATAAATGACGTAACAGGTGTTATCGATGGAAATAATGTTTATGGATCATCGGAAGAGACCACCCGCAGTCTCAGAGTTTTGCAAAGTAAGTAGATAGGGAAGACAGTGAAGCGTTCACTATCTTAAAATCTTTACTACGCATTGTCCACTCTGTTTAACTTATGCCGTGTTCGCTAAAACTGTATGATGTTGAGAGCTCTGTGAAAACACACTCATAGATAATATAAGAAAGGTGTTTATCTCAATGTCCCTTATGTAATCCAGACCAGTCACATACATAGGTTTGTGCCATTTTTTCTACACCTCCGATACAACAAGAAATTCTACTACCAAATAGTAACTGTTTTGTTCAGACGATTCACTTCGGTTTATCTCCTCACAAATTTATTAATCCCAGTCCCAGCTGGCTTTTTTTTCGCTTAAAAGATGGCATTAAGAAATTCATAGTCAAAGTTCTTCATTTTAACAGGGCATCATGAACTCTATTATTACTCTATAGGTATTACCTAGCGTGATCTAGGAAAGCCCGATGATAAATCGTGCATTGAATGAATTACGAAAGTCTTTATAGGCGAAGGTCAACCTAAGAAACAGTACTGCGGAATACTCCTTGCCACCATTTATAGGGGACACATTTTCCACAAACATTTTCCTAGACATTTGGCTTAATATGTAAATGACTCCTTAAGCTTCCTTAATATACGTTGTTTCATACAAATACAATACCTGCAAATCAATACAAAAATTCCATTGCATGGTGAAACAAAATGTTTTTAAATTTGTACTAAGTTGCTTCCGAACAGTTTTTCCGCATCAATGTTTTCGATGGTGGGCAAACCGGAGCATATTAATTAAATGTCTTCAGGAAAATATCTCGTAGTGATGCTAAGCGTCTGCTAAAACCTTGAAATTATTATTTTCAGATGACGTAGGGTTAATGCGTGTGTCACAAATGAATGGGGCAGATTTGCTACCAGAGGATCCCGACACAACAACGTGTATTGAAGGCTGTTTTAAGGCTGGAGATATCCGAGCAAATGAACAACAAGGACTGACGTCATTCCACACTCTCTTCCTTCGAGAACACAACCGTATTGCAAGGACTTTGAAACGATTGAATGCTCATTGGAACGGCGAAACTGTTTTCCAGGAAACAAGAAAAATCGTTGGAGCTATTATACAAAAAATTGTCTATGAGGACTATCTACCAATTATCTTAGGTCCAGATGCTTTACCTTCATACGCAGGACATAATTCAAACATTAATCCCAGTATATCGAATGCCTTCGCAGCTGCGGCTTACAGATTTGGACACAGCACGATCCGTTCTAAATTTGATCTTTTGGACAAAAATTACGAAGAAGTCGCCCCTGCCATGAAGCTTCGTTTTATGTTCTTCAATAATACTGTCACGAAAACAATAGGTGTCGAGCCAGTATTATTTGGTCTTGTTGGAAATGTATCTGAAAAGGTGGACACAGTATTGTCAAAGGAGATCACGGAACATTTATTCGAACGTGGAAATCAACACGGAGAAAACCTCGCTGCGTTAAATTTGCAACGATCACGTGACCATGGTCTCCCTGGTTACAACGAATTCCGAAGATACTGTGGTCTCTCCAACGCAAGAACCTTTGAAGATACCAGGAACGAGATCCGAGACGCAAATAACAGAGCTATCCTGAGGAACCTGTATAATGATGATCCAAATTTTGTTGAATTATGGATGGCAGGTCTCGCCGAGGTTCCGTTCCCTGGGGCAACCGTAGGTCCTACATTACGATGTGTTATACGAGAACAATTCCAGCGGTCTAGGGATGGTGATTGTTTTTTCTATGAAAACCAAGGCGTTTTTAGTCCAGACCAAGTACTGGAGATTAAGAAAACCAGTCTGTCTCGTCTCTATTGCGATAATGTCAATGGTATTGTGTCTATTCAAAGAAATGCGTTCAAATCAGCAGTCCATGAAGTTCGTCCTTCATGTCAACAAATTCCTGGCATTTCACTTTGCCAATGGAAAGGTGCGCTTCCTTTATTCTTGCAGGCTATTGTAAAAGGATATACTTAATTTTTTCTAGTAGGAAAACCTATTTGGAAAATTTATTATTTATTGTACTCTGTTTTCGTTTTGTCGTTGGCTAAAAGATCCAAAACATTCATGCAAGATGAAGTACTAACCTCTGCACAAATCAACTGGACAGAGCCCGAGATATTCCAGGGGGGCGGGGGGTTATGTGCAATTACAAATACTCGGGAACATTTTTAATTGAGCTTAGGTTTTTTGAGGTGGAAAGTGCTTTTCGCGCAATTTGATTGGTTGCTCAACTCCGACTATTCTTGCACTATTCACTATGACAAAAAACAACGAAAATATTTTTAAATTTAAACAATTTGTATCACAGCTTGCGTATCAGCTGCAAACAAATTAAATAGCATTTTTAAAAGCTTTTAATAATTTTATTATTAGGAGTAGCTTTAAAAATACACCTCTACATATACTGTTAAACCAAACTTTGTAGCTGTCTTTGTGTTTGCTGGAACCGTATATGTTCCTTAAGTAAAAAGATTTGCTTGCCTGTGTTCGAAACAAAATGAGAACAAAATAAGACATTGTATTTTGGTCCGCAGGTGAACAGTACAAGGACCCAAGGCAGAACAACCAATCAGAATGCGCGAAAAGCACTGTCCACCTGCCAATTAATGCAAGTATGTGCCAATCACGTCTGAATATCCTGCTCAACCTCATCTGATAATTGTTCATAATCTATATAATTTAAGGACATTTTCAATAGACCTTTCTTATAATGACGTCAAGCGCTGACAATCAATTTATGCGATGTCCCACAGGACAGGGCAAGTCGTTGGCGAGCCAATAGATTTTATAAAAACATCCTTTGCATTTTGAAAAATTGGCCTTGGGGCGTCGCATTTAGTGTTTTTTAGGTAATCGTTTCATGTTTCGCGCACCAATATAGTAAACGTTATGTAATGGATATTATAGTGTGCTGAAAAGTTCACTAGGTACTTTTTACTAGATTTTCTTTTATAGTGAATCTTTTTAATTTAAAATATATAAAATCTCTGTATTGTACTGCATGGAAATTGGCACGATTTACTTTGTGCTTTCATGTCACGTGCTTAATTTTAATTGCATCTTTTTTTAACTATAATTAGTCGCAATTGCCCCTTCGATTCGTTAGTACTTTACATCAGTATTGGGCCGCGACGCCGCGCGTACATGGGTTAACTGTAAACTTATTTGCATGGTTATTTAATAGCTACTTCTCCTATTCAAGTGCGCGCACCCCAAACAGTAGCTTGAACTCGAGGCGAACAATTTAATTAATCCTATTTAATAATTAATTGTCAGTCTCGACCTGACTGCATGGTATCATGTGCAATCTATAGGAAGTGTCTATTGCTAGGCAATCTAAGGGCCTGTTCATATTGTACCCGGATTGGGATAAATTATTTCTGTGTTCACATGATTATATTTATCACGCCTAATATCCCGCTTCGGTGGGGTAAACAAACTGTACCCTGTATTACTACACCCCCTCCCCTGGTCCCCGCCTCGTACGCGTATGCTGGGGTCATATATGAACTGGCCGGTAAGCGAAATGTGGTAAGTAATCTAACAACTGATCGATTTCATTTTTTTTAGGAAGAGCCTTGAAGACTGACAACATTAAAGGTTTGAACGATGTTAGGGTTATCATTATGGATAAAACCAATATTGGTAAGCCTACACAAAGGGAGACATTTTGATTTTGGCATACAAATTAGATACATTTGTACCTATAGGGGATTAAATGTGAGAGATTTTGAATAATTGTATGGTAATTACCATGGTAATAATATATAAAGGACATCAGGCCATTGACTTCGATATTCATCCTTGAAGAAAGGGCATGCCCGAAACGTAGGAGTTGAATAAAATATTGAAATATTAAAGTTTAGTTCGTATATATATATATATATATATATATATATATATATATATATATATATATATATATATATATATATATATATATATATATATATATATATATATATATATATATATATATATATATTTATACACATACTTGTACCTTTATCAGGTAGGAAGCAGCGGGACATAAAAACGATATCGTCCCGGATATCGTTTTTTGTCCCGGATATCGTTTTTTGTCCCGCTAAATTTCGCGCCTTGTCAAAACAAAGATGGCCGACTCGAGGTTCGTGTTGGTTGATGTCGACAGTTTATCGAAGAAAACAAGAACGATAATACAAAACGAAAGACTTAAATTGTATATTATTTATATGAATGGTCTATTTATTTTCTAAAATCATATTTGTTCAGTAAATGATGAATTGTTTTGAATTCTAAAATGATCCTATTTTTTCAAAACTGTTTACTTTTGTGTGTCAAACCCTGATAAAAGTACAAGTATATAATAAATAGGTTATCGTACTCGGGATTCGGTGATATCAGTTTTATCGCTCTCGGGACGATATCACAATATCAAATATATATATATATATATATATATATATATATATATATATATATATATATATATATATATATATATATATATATATATATATATATATATAAATATATATATGTCAACTAATGGGCATCCTACATCCACTATAAGGGTGGTCACCTTCTCCTTCTTGTTCAATATGACTAAATCTGGTTTGTTGTATTCTAGCTTCTTTTCAATCTGGATGGTAAAATCCAATAGAATGTTCACTTCATCGTTCTCCAATACTCTGCTTTCCTTGTCAATGTGGTGGTTGTAGCTTTTCCCCGCATACTCAAATCCATACTTCTTACATAGGTCCCTTATTATGTCTCTGTGTATGGCAGCAGCAATCTTATCATGTCTCACATTCTTATAATCCTTTTGAGCAAGAGGATTGTACTGTACAGTACCTTTTGCCCTGTCTTTCCTTTTTATACAGGCAGGTCAGCATATTTGTTTCAATGCGTTGTTTATAATACAAGAACACAGATTGAAATGGTGTTAGTGACACTATAGCAGTTATATTTCAATCACATTAATTCACCTATTTACTGTTTATTTACCATTTCACCCATGAAAGAGTTTATAAAACCACCACATGGACGTATATTAAAAAAAAATGGTGATCATATAAATTGCCTGGGCCATGTGGTTGCGCAGAACGATATTCAAGTATTCAACAATTCCGACAACGCAACGGCAACGGGTTGCGAACCCATCAAACTTCGTGTAACTTTATTTGCATTGTGAATCGTCGTTGAAAATCGTTCCATCAGGTATAACATCGGCTTTTTAATGATAATTTGTGTCGGAGGATAAGGATCCCTCCCTGCGCTTTTATCTGAAGATTTTAGTGGACATGCAGTTCCCTGAACTTGCCAGAACGGCAATCAACACTGCGTGGCGCGTGGAAATGACCTAACTTCCGAAAAGGAACTAATCTCTGTCTGTATATTATATTCTGTGATGCGGAGGCGAAAGATCTATGCAAAATTCTTCTTATTTTACAGTTTTGAATACGTTAATTCGTTATAGTGATAATGGTAATATCGTGCTGTTTATATTGGTCTATTCATGGATTTACTAGCTACATTTATTTGCATACGCCATACGAAAGCAAACGGCTGTGAATCAATCGGTAATCGTCTGTACTATAGTAATTCGAATCGAATGTTCATTAGGTCAACGAGTGTTGACTGTTACCCTGGTTTCAAACGTCTGGATTTCGTCAAAGACTTTTTTGTAAGTGTTTGAAACAGCCTTACTGGTGTGTTTCAATTTTTAACGTACGAACTACCAAGTAAACACTACTATAAATGTTGCCATTTTTCACACTCCCACGCATTGCGCGTGAGACTCACGTTGCGTGAATGTCACCTCACGCGTGGGAAATAGTGCTAAAATAGAGTAGACAGAGACGGATTTTCATATTTTCGTTCCGGGGGGTGGGGGAGGGTCTGCTGCTTGCTTTGACCGGGGCGTGGTGGCAACGCCCGGAAAGGCAAGGAAAATGTTTAACAAAATTTGTTTTCTAGGCCTGCATGGCGAGATCTGAGACCACAATATTGGTAATTTTACAAATTAGTAGTAAGAATAATCAAATGTGAAACTATCAAATCAAAATATATGTCATTTGCGGGGGGTGACAAATGCCTTTGGGGTGTAACATTTCTGGGGTGCGCACCCCCCACCCCCCTCCGCACCCCCAGAAAACCTGTGCCTGGAGTGAGACAATAGACAACTTGCATGTTAGACTAAATTTTAATCTAAGTAAAGAGAAGGGAATCAAACACAACACCACAGCTGAAAAGAACATAATGAAATTAGTAAAATGCAAAATTTGGTTGCGAAATGTTCTGCGCTTATTGCTCTCAGAAGCCCTGGGATAATCCAAACCGAAACACCATAGAACATTGGTGCCCCGGGAAGCGGAAGTAAACAGTAGCTCCAGCTAAAAACGCTGACATGGCATATTTTTATGCAAGAGTGATGCACCTATCATTGTTTTCCCCCTGAGGGGGGGAGGGGGGGGGAGGGTGCGGGCAACCCAGGGGACTTTGACCACACTATGAAGCCATAGTGAGGGGAATTTGACCTATGCATCAACTCCCAGAGTCGGGAAATTTTGACATCCGCCATCTTGAAAGTTTGCGCGGTTTTTTCATTGAAAGGCCTGGTAACAAGTATGGCGGAGAAGCACGATCAAGTTTCATCGAAAAAGGTATTTTATAGCCTTTTATACACAGTGTCTCAATTTGTACCAAGTTTAAACCATTATAGACTGTATGTTCGCATTGGAAAACATGTGTGTGCCTTGTTATCTTAGGAATATAGTGGGGAATTTTGACAGCTGTTCCTTGCCGAACAGTGGGGATTTTGACAACAAAATTTTAAAAATGTCAAAATTCCCCTGGGTTGCCCGCAATCTCCCCCCCCCCCTCAGGGGGAAAACATTGATAGGTGCATGAGAATGCATTATTTGTTGCAATTTATGATAGATTTGGACTTGTAAAGACATCTTAAGAGGCTGTCTCTCTAAGGGAAAGTACATTTATTACACCGAGGGAGGGGGATGAAGATGTCTTGAAAAAAGCTCATATTTTTACAGGGCCCCTGTTGAGGTTATCGGTAAATTTCGATGCCCCCCTCCAAGTTTTTAAAATTTTCAATGCCCCCCCCCCTCTAGAATTCGGAATCGAAGGAGTACAATCCGGAATTCTCTCTTATCATCGATACAATTTGCAGTTCCTCAAGATGTCTGATATACTCAAGCATGTGCTTCTCCTCAACAAAACTACTGATCTGCTGCTTCTTTCACCTCACTAGCACCAGATGAAATGGCACCGTCTTTAAAACATTTTAAATTGGCTCTAGGGGTGAAATTATCAACAGGTTGTTGTTGTCCATCATTCAGCGTATTCGGAGTCTTGAACACGTTCATGTAGTGGCCAGGATTTCCTGGATCAGGATAATGTGCTGGAACCTTACAGTATGTTACCCCCAACCAACGTATCTCCCGGCATCTGTTGCAAATCTCTTTGCATGCCTGTCAAAAATGCATGCAAAAGTGCCAGTATTTTAATTTCCATCCCGTTTGTACGCAATATCCCATAAACATAGAACATATCATTCTTGCAAATTGTATATGCTTTTTTGCTTTTTGGCGCGTAAATTACTTCACAAACCTGGCGCAAAAAATTTTTAAATAAGCTATAGGTGATTTCATGTATCCATTTAGAAGAGCAGACTAAGGATATCTTAAAACTGAAATCGGTTTCGAATACAACCATCAGGCCGGACGTAGCAAAGCATCTGACGTTTGGGGTGGGGGGGATGTCAGAGGATTATACGTGTAATAATTATAATAAAGCTTTTTGTGATTGATTGGCACTCTTATACTAAGTTTTGGGAGAAAAGGGGGGTCTGGGGGTCCTCCCCCAGAAAATTTTTACATTTTTGAAGCTCTAGGACTGAATTTCTGGCGTTTTCTAAAGCAAATTTCGCAAACAAATTGCATGTAAATTGACTGTATTTTACAAAAATGGTTATCATTTCACAAAAATAATTACTTTATTACGCAAATTTTACCTGAAACTGATGAAATTTTAACTTTAATTTGCTGGGGTCAAACCTTTGAAAAGTTTAGAGCCCCCCCTTCAGTATATCAAGAACTTTCAGAGCCCCCCCTTTAATGCCAGAAAATATTTCGGAGCCCCCCCTTAACATCTTCATCCCCCCCCCCTCGGCATAATAAATGTACTTTCCCTTATATGGCCTCAATAACAGATCTGAACTTCGATAAAAAAATAGGATCCATTACAAGTTGTAATAATTATTACAATTATAACTTGTAAGCCATATTATGGTAATTTTGATCCTACTATTGATCCTCATTAATTTGTTTACTACATAATATGGTAATTTTGATCCTGCCAATGCTATAAAAGCTAGACATTGTTAAATTGTAATATAAACTGATGAAGGCAGAACTGCCGAAACGTTTTTAACTTTTAAGCTTTTATTTTAGTATGTTTTAGCTTTTTTTAATAAATTGATGGTCGAAGTTGCATAGTCTCTGATTTTTAAATTGATTTATATATATATGTAATATATATATATATATATATATATATATGTAATATATATATATATATATATGTAATATATATATATATATATATATATATATATATATATATATATATATATATATATATATATATATATATATATATATATATATATATATATATATATATATATATATATATATATATATATATATATATATATATATATATATGTGACAAATGCCAGTACTCTGCTCAGCCGACAAGACTTCATATGTAACAAACAGAACGGCTACGTTTGAAGAAGTTTATTAAAAAAAAAGGTATATTAAATACAAAAACTAAATTTTCGGCTGCATGCCACAGCCTTCTTCAGAGTGCCTATAGCTTTACACAGAACATACTTATATACAATAAATTATGAATAAATTACTATTGTTGGGCGAAATCATGACTACCATTAAGGCCTTTCCGGTTGGTTAACAACATTCCTATCCAAAAGTTTTCACTCTTAAGTACTTCACTATGGTGTTGGTCAATAAGCATAAATTTTAAGCTCGAATGATCCGCCTCATGCACATCAATAAAATGATTTGTTATACTGCATGTCCGGCGCTTATGCTTAATATGTGATTTGTAGTTAGCTAGTCTGGACTTAAAATTGGCCGTAGAGCCAACACCTTGCAAACCACAAAGCACACACTCAGCAAGATACACTACATTACTGGAAGTGCACGTCAAAGATTTTAAAATGAGAAATACGGTAGAAACCTGATGGTTGCTACCATAAGGTTTCCACTACTAGAGCATTCTGCAATTTGCAAATTTGCGATATCCCTGCACAAACTATCGATATGGTTATGCCTGCTAATGACTCACATGACAATTGAGTCACCGTCCCAAACAATTTGATAAACAGTGTGGGCGAACGTGGGTGTTTTTCGGCAAATTGTCTTTTCGGCGAAAAGTACGTTCGTCAAAATGTCCGTTCGGCAAAATGTCTTTCGGCAAAATGTCCGGGTACCATCAAAAGGTGGGGTTAAGCTAGACCTAGAGCCTTTACTGCGAAGGTAGCAATTGATTTGCAGGTTAATCTTCTCATCCTGCGCTGAAATATAAAGAGAAGGCCCTATATAGTGGCGTAGCCAGCCTGAGTATTTGCTCCTGCTATGCAAATATTACTGTGTTTATAGACTGTAAAAACAATGAATTTCTAAAGAAATGAATAATGATAATGCTTTGAAATTTACATAGCAGGAGTAAATTTTCAGGTTGGCTACGCTGCTGGCCCTATATATAGGTCTACAGGCTGCTATACCTTTATGAGTGACCACTCGAGTATAACAATCAACATTTGTTTAAATGTTTTTATTCAATTTGAAATTTGAATAAGAATACCGAAAACTAATTTCGGGCTAATAGTGATCAGTGGCTGTAAACATAAAACATTTGCATGTGGCGTAATATATACATTTCCACAATAATTAAGATGGCAGATTCAAGAACCAAGCGCATGAAACAGCTGCCTGTAAACACTAGCGTAGCCGGCACGACGATTTAGTCCCGCTATGCAAATAGTGTTCATTGACTGTGAAAACAACCAATTTCTAAAGAAATGAATAATGATAATAAATTTGGAATTTGCATAGCGGGACTAAATTGTCGGGCTGGCCTGTGACAAGTCTTTAATAATTTATTTAAAAGTTCTTTCAATAAGACGAATTAAAATTTTATTGCCGATGTCCTTTACTGATATTTAAGCACGGTAGCCTAATTATTAAAAATGCTTTACACAGGGCTCCTCAACTACCTATAGTAAGCTAATTCACTTACAAATACTCTATGCTTATATTCAGATATACTTACAGTCATGCAAGACAAGTTACAAATATTAAGATTGTTCGAGAACGCGCTGGGGTTTTATGATGAAGTTTTAAACTGTCACTGCGCAGTTGATATAATCATCGTTAATATACTTTCTTGGGAATAATAACTAGTATTGTATATCCTTCACCACCGTCTCCACCTACACTGGCACGGGCCGTTCGAGTTTTTTTCTTCTCAGGCGTTTTATAAACGAAGAGAAAAGCTTTCTGTCCAAGGTTCCGTAGATAAAAGGATTCACAGCAAAAGCACTCAAAAAGTGCAAAATTTCAAACCACATGTAATAACTAGGAAAGTCTATGACGTGGCTCATACCTAGGATAAAAATGATCTGCCAAGGCAAAGCCGTCACACTAAAACAAACCACTATAATAAAACTAACTAAAAATGTGCGCGCGTTTCTATGCTGTTTAAATCTTTGGTACCATGATAGGTTTTGTTCATTTGAAACTGCAGCTGAAGCAAATAATAGTTTTCTTTCTTTGTTTTGTCTCACAAGTTCAACACATATTTTCCAGTACGCCACAGATAGAAGAACGACTGGAATAAAATACTGTATGGCCGCCAAAACTAACGTATACCAAATATTTAATTGTTCCACAGGCCATTTTTCCACACATCCGCTTCCTGTATTAAATTCTAAGACCAGACTGTAAGGCAATACACAAATTGTAGCAAATATATAAGTCAACATAGTCATTACTTTCACTTTCCACCGGCTGACGGCAGGTCGCAACGGCTTCGACACAGCTTGGAAACGAAGAATGGATATAATAATCATAAAGAGAATTCCAGCTGTGTAAAAAGCCGTGTGTGTAGGATACCACAGTTTACACAACACTGGCGAGTTGATCATCGAGCTGCCAGTGAAAGCATGATAAATATCCGATGTTGAAAGCAGAAGGGTAAAGAAATCGCATATTGCCAAGTGAAAGACAACATAATAATGGTTGTTTTTAAGCAAACTTCGATGGCGAAAGATTAGCAAAATAACAAGAAGGTTACCAACTGTTCATGCGAAGGCAACAAAACATAGCATCGAACCAACCAAGAAATCTCGAGGCCTGACAAATCGATCTGTCCCATCATTCGATGATGTATTCATTTTTACTTAGATAACACTTATAAGTCTTAAGCCGGTTTTCCACTTCGTCCGTATCGTACCGAAACGTACTGGTGAGCATGCGCAGATTGAAAAGAGGTTTATAAATCCACGTACTTCCGGGTGTATTCGCGTATCAAAATAAAAAGTTCGTCGCAAGTCAACTACGGCGTACTACGGAAGTACTAACCAATCAACATTCAAGAAATTTTGAAATTTAAAAACGTTTTTGATACGTTTCGGTACGGTACGCTTGAAGTGGAAAACCGGCTTTAAACGACAAATGTTCCGAATCGGGAAAAACTCGTACACGAAAAAATTAAGCCGCTCGCATTAAATATACATGAAATGCTCGTAGTTAATGCCAAACAAAGTGAAGACTTTGAATATTTGTTTATTCAGAGACATCTGTCTCAGACAATGTGACTGGACAATATGATGCCCATCTTTTTGTGTATATATATTGAGGTCTGTGGATTATTTTATTTCGTCCGTATTTTATTCTCTGGTGAGCTGCTGCCAGGAAGTGAATGTGGATGGCTTGGTCTCCTACAGAACTTGCTGTTTAATCCCTTGGAATGATTTGTTCTTCATTATAAATGCCACTGATGGAGCCTTTGACGAATGATTTTTAGATTTTATCATGCGACTTGACCTATTTGGTGAAGGAACTATTAAATTAAGTATCATAACTCTTGAGGGAAATTAAGTTATTTGAAAATAATTATTCTTAATAATTATTTATAAAAAAAAAAATTATTTAAAATTTCTTTTTTAATAATTTTTTTTTGATAATTATTTTTATTTTGTTATTACATTCAACACATTTCATGGATGGAATAAATTGCTTCACTATATATGAACCCTCTAATGTAAGCAAACACATCATGACGCTATACTGGGGAGCTGTCAAGCATTCTCACAATTCTCTTGTCAGGTTCAAGCTCTTTCTCTGGTTTGTCACAGTGTTCTGTTCATAATTCCCATTGAAGTTGTAATACTATATGGGATTGTTATTCCAGTGAATGCTGAATAATCCAAGTGGGGGCATATCCAGGAACGGTTGCAAAAAATGCAACACTAGGTCCTCTGGTAGGAACGAACCTGTCGCTTAGGTCTTAAGAGGGCCTCTCAGTAAAATCCACCCACTGGTTTCGGGAAGGAAAAATAGATTTAGCTCATATTTTGCATATGAACTAGACTTTGGTCAATATTAATCGAGCTTCTTTCAGAACGTTTCAACTTTCTGTTTTATAGGAGTTATAGCCCATGTTGAAATTTGACCTTGCGAGAGTATTTTCAGACCGGAAATGAAGGGAATTTTACAAGAATTCAAATGATTTTTTAAAAACGTTGTGACGCATTTATCCCCTCCAGTTACTGTTTACATGCAAGATTAACACTAATACGCTCGTTTTCATGGAGATTGAACAACTTTATTTGCTTAATAAGATTTTTATATAGTTTTACGAAACTATGTTTTCAAGATGGCGGCGGGAGGCTGAAAATTGCTCATATTTTACTTAAAATAGCTCAAAAGTGGCACCTATCTCAAGTTCAAAAGGCATGTAATTTGAAATTATACCTACTAAAGTTAAGTAATCAGGAATAAAACTCGTCTGCAAACAATTTTCTGAAAAGTTATAAATCTCCAAATTGGGCCTATTTTTAGCTGTTTGTTTACATTCGCGTGTTCGCTGATCAGCGACATTAATAATTGAAGAGTTAAAATAAGCTGATTTATTATCCAGTAAACTTTCTTAGCTTGTTCACAAGAATATATACAATTTTGTGAAAATATAATTACAATATATACAAGCGATCGTGTACAGAACATTCCCGAATTCGAATTGCTTTACATTTACACTACTTACACTTAACTTACACTTGCACTAATTACACTTACACATACTAGTAGTAGTAAAGTTACAGCGATCCTGCTGGTGTCTACGACCCTGATATCTTCTAATGTTATTAAATATATATTGGTAATATCGAGGGTAATATAATAAGAACTTCGTCAGAAACATTGACACAATACCATAATCTCCTGATTATGACTTTGATCTGCCGCTCCCACGGTGGGAGGTGCATGTCTGAACGACCAATGTGAGTAGAAAACGTACATAAGCGTCTCTGTGCGATGTTTAGGTCATGAAATAGTGCTACAGGTAATATGGTTTAATGCACTTTGCAGAAACTCCCCTAATTTTGATCTCGCTCAATATGATAATCAGAATCCTGTTTAGCCGAAGGGTTGCTATTTTTATAAAAATACATGTACTGACCCAAGTCTCGCTCGATTAGACAAATTTGGGTTACGTTTTTTTATACCCAATTCACAACTTTATATAACCCACATGCCTAGTTACTATTGTTCTAGATTACTAAAGCATAAAATAGAGCAAAGGGAAAGCCTCGTGAGGTGGCAACTTCTGAGGTGATTACAAATGTCTTCATTACACTCACTAATTTATACAACCTCCTGTACTCCCCGGCCTCTTCCACATGCAAAATTCCCCAGGCCAGCAAAAGAACAGCCCCCCCCCCCACGACTCAAGCATGCACAAAGTAAAAATAGGAGCTGCCGCCAAAAATAACCGGCAAGCCAGCCATCCAGCTTGCAGTTCCACCCGCGAGAACGTAGATTTCAAAGTCAAAATACTAGAACCCTCCCACCCCCGTGGTCCGTCGTCCCCTAGTGAATTCCCGCTACTGCAGCGGTTAACAAATTATAGGGAAATACGACGACATAAGTTAAATTTCGATACCTCCACGCGTCCACATGCAGTGAATCAAACGAAAAACGCACTCCTAGTTACAATTGTTCAATTTACTACAAAAATCAAAGAAAACTAAATTTTATCGCCATATTTCTCCATAATTCGGCGACCGCTACAATATTAAATACAAAACAAAATAGTAAATGCAACAGACTACAAAAGCGGAAGTGGGAAGGTTGTAGTATTTTGACTGCAATTATGTACAAAAATATGTTGCATCCATGCAGAAAGATTTAATGTCCGACCTTTCCGGCAAAATTTCCATTTACAGGGACAGATAAAGATTACGAGACGAGTTGAATAGAAAAGTTAATGCACCGAACACTTTTACTCCCAGAGATACTGACAGCTTTGAAATTTGCTACAACCACAGAAAGTACCGCCGGTTTATATTTTAAAAAGATATTTAACAGTTGTGAAATTATTCATGCGAATAAGCCAAGAATGGTTAAGGTTGTATTTTGAATGTTTCTATGTTGTGAATTAGAACCTAGATAATAAACCAGCTTATTTAACTTTTTAATTATTACTAGTGTCGCTGATCAGCGAACACGCGAATGTAAACAAACAGCTAAAAATAGGCCCAATTTGGAGATTTATAACTTTTCAGAAAATTGCTTGCAGACGAGTTTTATTCCTGATTACTTAACTTTGGTAGGTATAATTTCAAATTACATGCCTTTTGAACTTGAGATAGGTGCCACTTTTGAGCTATTTTAAGTAAAATATGAGCAATTTTCAGCCTCTCGTCGCCATCTTGAAAACATAGTTTCGTAAAACTATAAAAAAATTGGATTAAGCAAATAAACTCGTTCAATCTCCATGAAATCGAGAGTATTAGTTGTTAATCTGCATGTGAACAGTAACTGGAGGGGATAAACACATCACAACGTTTTCAAAAAATCAGATGAATTCTTGTAAAATTACCCTTCATTTCCGGTCTGAAAATACTCTCGCAAAGTCAAATTTCAACATGGGCTATAACTCCTGTAAAACAGAAAGTTGAAACGTTCTGAAAGAAGCTCGATTAATATTGACCAAAGTCTAGTTCATATGCAAAATATGAGCTAAATCTATTTTTCCTTCCCCAAACCAGTGGGTGGATTTTACTGAGAGGCCCTCTTAAGTCCTTGAGTCTTGACAATCAAGTACATTTCACGACTACGGACACTGAGTATTTTTTATTTAAATGGATTCCTATCCAATCCGTAGTAGACTTTTTATCCCGTCTTCCTGTTTTTGTAAAGCCATTTTACTATCATTTTATATGTACGTCCATGATAGCTTGCAATAGTGCCCCCCCCCCCTGCCTAAGGACAACGTTGCACAGACTCGCTTCAGATAATTTTTCTCTAGCTGGAACGGAGCGAATGATATTTTCGTTTCCAACTTGATAAATGCACCAAATTTTTCAACATGGACCATGCTTTTTCGACATAAACCCAGTTTATGAGAGATGTCTGTCCTTGGGGGCTGCATGATTTAAACACGATTTTGTCAGGTTTTTGGTCCGCCTAATCGAAGTGGGCTGGAAAGAACTCGGTGCAAAAAAGCTCATGTAATTTTCCCGATCGCCGACGAAGGGCTTTCGCTCGAAACGTCTACTTTCTGCGTATATTTTTCAGGTAGTAGTTACATCCCTACCAACGAAAGCTCCTTAAAATAGATCGGTTGCCAGTGGCAATGATTGGTAATATATTCGATGCGCTGTTATATAGTGCAATGTATAGTTGTATACGTATAATAGCGCAATGTACGAGGCTGTTGTTTGGTCCCTTCTTCATCCAAATGGTAAATCAACTCTATTCTAACTGTAGATTTTATATATTTTTATGTATTAACTAAATTAAATTCGAATTTGGTTTAATTTCCGATATTGCGAAAAGTTCGTATAGGGAATTCCCCAAGTTATTTAATATTACAGTAAAGCAGGTCTTTAGTCACGCTTCCGCATTAATTACCGTAATACGTATTATCTCATAGGCATAGCGAAAGTCATTCTCGTCTCTTGCATATTTCATCGAAATAGCTGCGTACAAGGAATCAACACATATCATATCTATATGCTTTGAAATATCGGTAATGCCATTGTGTCTGTCATGGGCGTACCGGAAGGAAAAAGTTAGGGGGGCGGAAAGAAAATTGCCCGACTTTTCAGAAATGTGCCCGACTAGTACCGAAATTTCGGTCAGTGTACCATTTTAGGGGTCAAAAAATTTTTCCGGACATACCAAATTTTTTCCGAACATCGGACAAATTTTCCAAATAACACTAAATTTACCACAAAATTTACGGAATTTTCGACAAAATTGACAGAATTTGTCCATTTTTTTTTTATAACAAACCAAAATTGCCCGACTGTTCATCGAATATTGCCCGACTGTCCAAAAAACTGGGGGGCTACCGCCCCCCCCCCCCTCCCCGCCCGGTACGCCTATGCTTATTATGCCAAAAGTTTATTGTCGTAACCATGCCCAACTTAGCATAAACATGAACAAAAAGATTGAACAAAACCTTTCTCGAGTTTTCAGACTATGTCGTATATTGTATATAATAGAGAGATTATGATACCGCGGTTCCGTTCTACGGCTATCAGTTTCACTCGTACCGGAATATCTTGGATTAAGTTGCAAGTCGTACCCGTAAACCGGAACCGGGGTATCTTAACCTCACTATTATCTGAATGCTAGGTCTTACTTAGTTCGGTCAAAAAGAGTATGGAATGTGCCGCCTAAAGAAATACGAAGAAACACAATGTCTCTGTCTTCTTTCAAATCTTTATTGAGAGAATATTACCAGAACGCATTAAACCACACTTATGACCCTGAGGATGCACGAACATAGAAGACAGTTCACATTAAGTGTAGTCTCCTGGTTTGTATATAGTCGTTAATAACTTCGCTAGTACCTAAGCTTATTTGTTTTCAGTTCGTACGATATTTAGTACGATGTAATACATGTAATGGACCCGCAGCAAATAGCCTTAGCTGTTGCGGGCTCCAAGCCTGAGAGACAAAGTGTAAATAAATAAATAATGCATGATAGTGCAAATATGGTATAGGTTGGCTACCAATAGAATAGAGACCTTACGGGACTCACAGAAGGCCGACTTCATGCTTTTGCCTATATTTTGATGGTAATATTTTGCCGTAACCGTTGAAAAGATTCAAAATGGCAGACGTTCAGGGGGGAGGTGAATGCCTCTCGTAAGCGCACTGCCGGTTAGAAACAGTGCATTTTGATGACCATTATGACGTGGCGTGGCGGTGGTTACGCTTTTTTGGCTGAGTCGGCCTTCTATAAGGTCTATATTCTGTGACGCAGGCTAGCTACCAGTGGTTTCGGGTTGGGTTTTCAGGCGAGAGAATTAAGGCTACTCTACATTTTGTCGTAAGCCAACCTACTGTTTGATCTATTTTATGCTGTTGAGCACTATCTAACATTTAGTGAATCAAAATGTACATTTTCAGCAAAATTGCTTACGTGATCATGTATTCACAAAACTTGTAAATCGTAATGTACATTGTACATCAATTTAAGACCTTAGAAGTGCTTGCGTCACGCAATTGTGAATACAGAGGACGTCTGGAATGCACAGTGCATTGTGGGATACCTTGGGGTCAATAATTCATTGTTTGAAAATTACGTGACGTAAGCACTCCTTAGGTCCATTGATCATATATTTTCACAAAATATTTTATTAGAGCTTAGAATCGTAAGGTTTAGTGTGTTCATTCCAGGAATTAAACACACAATAAACAGATGTATATATATATAATATAGATGTAGCATATACTTTAAAAAGTAACATATCTTTCGTGCATTACATATATCACTTATGCATATAAAATTAAATGTTCATTAAATTAAATATCTCATTTTAGGCCGGATGTGTGTAATGGGTCATATAAATGGATGACCATCACTTAGACCATCACGGGCATTTTTTACGCTGGCAAAACCTCTTGGAGTTTAGACAGTTTACCATATTTGATTTAAAACTTACTCGAAGATTGTAAAAAGTTTCATACCATTCCAAAATTTCTAAAGTACTAAAGTACCATTCCAGGACTGAACTCGTAAATATTCGTGATGGTATTCTATTTATACATAAAATTTACAACAAGATAGCAAAACATTCTTGGAGTTTACCACAACTTCAAAAGGTGAAAGGTCCATTTGAGAATTGCTGACACTTATCTGATAACTGCCGGTGGACCACCATTTATTAGATGGCAAACAGAGCTCTCAGAGTTTGCAGTACTGCAGCATAACTGCAACAAGGTCTACAATATCTGAATAAAAGTTGCAGATATGTTGGTTATCTGTCAAAATATCTGCAAAATATTTGCATAAAAGTTGCAGATATATGCCAATTGTGTGTCAATATATCTGCAAACAATACAGCAAAAAATAATTCTTATTGAGAAAACAATTCTTACTTTAAGAAAATATTTAACTGCCGGTGGACCACCATTTATTAGATGGCAAACAGAGCTCTCAGAGTTTGCAGTACTGCAGCATAACTGCAACAAGGTCTACAATATCTGAATAAAAGTTGCAGATATGTTGGTTATCTGTCAAAATATCTGCAAAATATTTGCATAAAAATTGCAGATATATGCCAATTGTCTGTCAGTATATCTGCAACTACACAGCAAAAAATAATTTCTTATTGAGAAAACAATTCTTACTTTAAGAAAATATTTGTTGAAATGAGAAACTAATTTTAATTAGAATTAAACCATCTTTCAAACTATCTTTCAAAGGACGTACTATAGATTTTCTACTTTAGTTATAAAATGCAAATGTGGATAATAAAATAAGGCCACGTATTATGCACCTATCATTGGCCATCCCTGGGGGCCAGTCTGAAATCTAGAAGGTCTACACCTAGACTGCGAGCAATCCCTCTATTTTCCTGGAGAGTCATCCCAACTCATTCTGTCTCTTTCATTTGCATACTATATATTATAACTGATATGTTCAATTTTCAAAAAGTATAGGTCAGTAAATATTTAGACGAGTACAATTCACGTTAAAGTATCTAGATTAATATTTGTTTGCTTTGTGGAAAACACCATGCATATTTATTACAAAGACTTTTGTTTCTCATGACAATGTAAAATTTAGGTATTTTTATCCATATGGGATAAATGTTCCCAACTTCTCTACTTCCACTTCCCTTCAAAACACGCTGGAGAGGTATCTCCGCCAATATGAAAGTTATGACAGGCCGTTTTCCACTTTAACGCTATCGTATCAAAGCATATATTTCTTTGTTCCCTGAGTATTAGGGTGGAAATAATCACTTTGACACAAAAGAAAATCCTACGATACGTTACGATATGATACGGTTGAAGTGGAAAACAGCCTCAATTAAAGATGCATGGAAACGTTAACCAATCAAAAGTGGAGCTGAAAAAAAGCCGAAAATAGCGAATCTCGTAACTATATGTTTTGAATTTAAGTATCTGTGATGCCGTTGGGGTACTGTATCTATAACAAGGGGATTTAGCTCAGACAAACAAAAGACAGGCAAATATTAATCATTCAAATCGTCATCCTTTTATTGAGTGGTTTCTAACTTTAATTCAATCTCATATCCAGGGTCTTTCCTTTTGGGGGAGAAAAGACCCTGGTAGACGCTGGTCATGTGATCTGCTAAAATCTAGCAGATTTTTATCATTTTAATTAGCAATCCAAGATGAGGTTAATAAACATTTTGTATTTGGGTGATTTTTATAGTTTAAATTTATAATTTGCATTTTGTATGATTGTCGTAAAGGAATCCAAGATAGTTTTTTAGAAATCTGCTAGATTATAGCAGATCACGTGACCAGCGTCTACCTGGGTCTTTTCTCCCCAATAGGAAAGACCCTCGGTACGAGGTTGATTTTTATTATGTTTCCTGGTTCCTCGCCTGTTCGCTTCCGCCTTACTATTTTAGGGTGGTATTTTGACAATGTTTGCAGGTTGAGGGAGGCTCAGGCTTTTGGGGAGGGGCGGGAAGGCCCGGAACTAGGCTGGACCGATATTATAAACTGGTATCTAAGGGTAGTGGTTATTGATCAAACTAGAGGGAGACAAATATACCTGATGAGTAACATGAGTAGTAAACTCACGACAACGAAGCATAGAGAAGGCTGAGTACTTTTCGGAAGTGTGTATTACACACTATTGATATTACACATGAGGTTAGCTCGTTCAATAGTACATTTTTATTGTTATCAACCAAGAATCTGACATTGCTTCACAAAAGTCATTAAAACAAGTCCTTTAATGTGAGGGACGCACCATTGGAGAAGTGAAGGGGGGCACGGAGTAGTATGTTTTTAAATATTTTGCTTGTATGGATTTTTCGGTTCTTACCCCGCCCCCTTCCTTTTCAAATGGCCCATCCCTAATAGTGATTCATCTAATTAACACTTATAATTAAGAATCGCAAATGTCAACACTATTTCAAGTAATTTTAGACGTTAATGTTGAGTTTTCATATTCAGAAGATTGTTAATTCTTGGTCCAGCGAACGCTAAAGAACATTTCCACACAGGTTCTGTTTTTACTTTTGGAAGGACCATGTTATTATAGACACATGCAGTCACTTTGAGAGTTTCAGAGAGTTCAGTGCTCATTTGAATCTTGAACCTCCATTATCCTTGTGTTAAAGTCTCGTGGGATTGTTTGAAACCCACCTATAAACTACTACAATTACAACTATTGTGATATTTCTAATTATGTTATTTATTCTAACCCATTCCGTTTGTTTTCATTTCAAACTATAATACAAACGCTTAAACAAGGACAATTTTGGCTTAATTATCTAGAATATTTATTTTGGTTCGTGGAAACACCACGTATATTCATTATTGAGAAGCTTTCGATCCGTAACAAGGATCTTCACGTCATTTCAAATATCCAGGGTATCTGGCGGAATTTTGGAATGGGGAATTCTTTCACATTATCCTTGTAATTCGTTTTTTTACATCCGAAGACTGGACTGCCTGTGATGTCATTCTTGCCAAATTAATGCTATAGTCGTTCAACATTAACCAAACCTGCCAAAGGTAGTCGAGTGAAGGCCTAGGTTCTAGGCTGCTACTACATCAGCACTGACCAAGATCCGACCTTACAAATGGAAAGTCTTGCAATTATTAAAAATATACGTGGTGTTTCTACAAATGAAAATAAATATTTTACCGCCATGCAAACATGCAATGAGCATAAAATTATCTGGATTAAACTGTGGTGTGCAAAGGAATTAAACAGCAGATATTTTTAGGAAATATAATCTTTCAATTTTTAAAAAATGAATTTAAGTTTAACTTTTTTATCAATAAAAACGAATTAAAGGTCAACAATTTTATGATTGTCAAGATTGGTCGGTACCAGAAGGCATGTATACTCTTTTCTGCTCGTAGAAAACATATGCAATCAGGCAAACACTTACTTTTTACTTACCGGTACATATATCTTCGTTACCCTATCCATTTTCCCCAAGCTTGCAAGGACTAATTTTTCAGTATATAAAGCTACACTAACATTGGCCCATGTAACCATTTCACCAAAGTTAGAAGCTCTGGCAAGATGTTGAGCTTTCTTAGAGAATTGAAACGCTTCTTCTAGGAATACTTCGTTTTTTTCTGGATTAACTTGGGCATACCGATAATAAAGGGTCGACTTTACCAAATTGAACTGAACTTCACGGTATCGACTGAGCGAATACCCACTACATACCGACTTATTTAACGCCATTAGGCTAGACTTCGCTGTTTCCAGACTTGATTGATTCACATGCTTCTTGATTATCTTTCCTGACATATCATATCCAAGATGAAATGTTGCCAAAAAGATGTACGCCTTATGTTCCATATCTACTTGTTCTTGAGACCTTGGTGCATACTTCAAATGTTCAAGTACCTTCCTAGAAAGTTCAGCAGACGATGGACCATCCTCATTTAGTCCAGAGTTTTGATACATTGCCGCACATGATAATGTCACTGCTGTAACAATCCCTGGTGTTAATTGGTTCCCCTTTAACAAAGCACTTTCCAATAATTCCCTAACAGCTTCGAATTTTTTTTCCGCACCCTTTAAAGCTGCTTTCAAACACAAATAAATCACTTCGAAAATGAAGAGATCGTTTGCTTTCGATAAAAGTTTTTCATAATCATCAAACAGGAGACGTGCTTTGTAAAGACGACCTTGCCGGTAACTCGCTACCACTCTTCTTGATAAAACCATTAGCTTCACCTCAACTTCAGGAAATTTATCTTCAAATGGCTTTGCATATTTTGAAAATATTTCCCATTTGCCATTATTAATGGCCATCATTAAAACTTCACGAGCCTTAGTGCAGTGACGTTCTGTCGCAGATGAGCTCCACTCAATCCGTTGTACTGCCGCAGGAATATCTACACCATCAAGTTGCAATTCTCTCTTCTTCCAAGTAACAAACGACATCTTCTCAATTTTGCCCTCTACCATTTCATAACATTCTGGTTCCTCAGTGAACACACCACCCAGACAAGGAGCAATATAGATCACGATCACAAAGGTTGATGGGATAACATTGGAGTTTTCATCTACCACTGGCTCGAAGAATATTTCCCAGTGTTCCCCTCGTTTTGGTTGACCAATCTGCTCAGGCCACATCATCTTGTTGATGGCTTTCTCAACTTTCTTTATTATTTCACTGATATCTTCGTTTGGGATCACCTCGCCTTCAACAACCCCATCGTCTCTGATACCAAAGTACATGTGACCTCCGTTATAGTTGGCGAAAGCAGACACATAGCAACTGAACTTATTACCTTTACCAGTCATACGATCTGCTAGTTTGGTACGTTTTGATTGATCTGCTTTTAGATTTTTAAACATAACCATTTTGTTCTCATGAAAATCACAATTTTTACCTTTAAGAAATATTCGACAATGTGAATCAAGTTGGACTGGTTCTGGAACGACTCTTCTGTTGATGATATCGTCCTTGATTTTTTCCAGTGGCTCCCAAGGAGATATTTGTACAACTTGTGATTGACTTGGCAAATAAATATTATAATTAGTTGTCACTAAGTAATCAGCCTTTTTGACTAAAATGACCATACATTCTATATCTTCTTTGAAATTTATTTTGGAGATGGTTTGGTTTGATCCAATAATAGATATCAGAGACTGTTCCAGAACTCGAATCAACAAAGAAATCCCGGATAACTGGCATGTGCACTTGTTATATAACACAACTTTTCCACCATTGCTGTTTAGCATAGCACAGATAGCAATTATTATATCTTTTAATAATTGTGCCTTGTACCTTTTGTTAGCCGAGGACGAGCTGTTAACAAACTTACACAAGAATATCATATGAACAGTCTCATCAACACGACTGTCCATCGTCGTTCGTATGTTTCTTTACCAAAAAGTAAACGATTTTTAGCGATACAATTCTCAGGCCTTATAACGTCAACAAAATACTGAAGCTTCTAATCCCTATAATAGATTTAGAACAAATGAATAACTGGTAATATTTGCTTAGGTAGTAATTGTTGGGGTGATGACTAAGCACTCTAATGACATCAAACGCGGAAAACCTCACAGGCGAGTTGTTGGCGAGCCAATAAATTTCATAAAAACATCATTTGTATTGCGAATTGTCACTAAAGATTGTCTTCTGGGACATCACATCGGGTGTTTTTTTCGCGTTTGACGTCATTGAAAGAAAGGTCTGTTAGAGAGCTGGGAGCAGCATTTTTCATTAGGCTAATATTGCTGTGTCATCATATTAAGATTCAATTTAGAGAGCTGAGAGTAGCATTTTTCATTAGACTAATATTGTTGTGTCATCATAATCCTAAGATCAAGTCAAAGGAATCTGTTAACTTAGCCAATCAGCGACCAGTATTACCATAAATTAAGTAATTACAAATCATGACTTTGGTCCTGCCAACTATGGTCCTGCTTTGCCTTTGGTCACGAGACAATCCAATATGGCGATATAAAAGAGGGGTTAAAATTTATGATTTATATTTATTCACACATTGAAATATGATGACTTGTGGATGAAAAAGGAGCGAATCAAGGTAAAGTAATCTTGGAACTACTACGTGTATGTTTTGTAGTAGTATGCTTGCTGTACATTTTTCAGCAATTTACGAAATAGTACGTGTTGGTTTTTGAAGCGTCTACCATGTGACATGTGTCCAGTGGGTTTCCTATTTGAAATCATCTGGACATCTAATAGGCATTTGAATCCGTTTCGGCGCTCGAATGAAGGCGAAATTTGGTAAAATATGAGCTACAGAATAATTTTAAAGTATAACAACCAGCGAAGAAGTAAGCCACTAAGGTTTCGAGTAAAATTGGTCCATTAAATGTTTTAAATGTATAAACAAACGTTTTGCGACACGGCCGTCACGGGTGTCGCCGAAATGTAATCCGATCCGATATGAAGTCTGTGCTCATGAGTCAGGTCGAATATTTCACTCAATATAGACACAATAAAAGTGCAACAGTGATCTACTTATACGTGATTCTTGTTCACGTTTACAAACTATATATTGCACTTATCCTGTCTCTGTTTCAACATATATGGTAATATTACTGTGTCATCAAATAAATCCTACGATTCAATTTACAGAAGTGTCATCATAATGCTAAGATTCAGTATATCTAGTTTATTGTTTTCAGTTAAATAATGATATAAACCTAGGATGGGTTTCATACCAATAATACTATAGTTCTATAGTGAAACGAAAAATCTATATAGGGATAAAGGCCCAACCATGCATGTTGGCCCAACATCAAACAATATGTGGTTAGTTTTGCACATGCATTAATTTACATCATATAATTTGATCAAATTTATTCAAATTGAAAATCGTTTCTTTAAGATATTTGCGAAAGAAACCGTATATAGACCATATCATTTCAACAATGTTTGATCTGTTTGACAAGTCGTAACTTTGCCCTTTGGGCTCGACTAATTTCCGACTAGTACTATATTATGCTCTATAGACTATAGCAAATGCATGAATTGAACTTTTTGTTTCATGGCATAAGTTAATCAGCCATTGAAAACGGACTAACATCCAGCTCTGTCGCACAGCACGGCAGCTCCCATCTATATACTATAGAATATAAACAGTACATATTATATATATAAAGGTAGTAATATATTAAGGTAGTAATATAACTACTCAGTACAGCATTTTCACACTGGTACAGACAGTTTTAATATGCTTTATCAGTAATTCTTCAATATACGTCTTGAAATATCACATGACCATTGCTATCACAACAAAACATGGGTAAAAATATTTCAAACATGCTGAAAGTGAAAATAGCAAGGCTGAATCAGTATTGCCTATTGGTAATATCGTCTTTTTTATATGACGCGTCTATGTCGTGTGATCATGAGACTTTTTCCTTTCGTCGAATACAGACGAATTTATTTTGCGCTATTAAATTCGTTAATTGGTCGAACATGGTTCATTAATCATGGGTTACACAGAAAAACGAATCACGAAATGAGAAACTAGCCTGCGTGGCAGGCCCTCAAATTTATGGGGGGGCCTGATTTGCAGCGGGCAGGATTTTGGCGGGCTCCGGGGGAGGATTAAGGGCCTGCAGGAAAGCCCGCCTTTCATGACTACACGCCGTTCAGATTCTGGACGGTGAATGCGATCACCTGATTGGTCAATACCACTGAGCTATAATATTACTGGAGGACGTGCTCCTATCTATCCGTCAGTCAAACGAGTGTCCGGAAAAACATGGCGGATTTTCATGTTTGCTGACGCCAATTGGTTCCTCCGGCTCATGGCAA